AAAAAAAAAAACATATATATCGTGTTAATCGTTAGAATTAACATCGTTTAATTTTGATATCTTTAGAATGACTATCAAAGAAGAAAAAACGGAAAATATAAATAAAAGACAAACGTCAAATGAAATCGAAGAAATGAAAAGTTACATTCCACAATTTGGCTCAAAATTGAATTTGTCAAGTAGTATATGTTACTGTGACAAAGCGCCAGGTCCGTCGCAAAATTTAAAACCGAGGCCACACATCAAAGCTGAGTATTGTCTCGAGAACGATGACATAAAGACGACAACAATTAAAAGTTCAAAACAATCTGAAATTGTTCAGAATGTGAGCACTGAAGTGTTAGTTTCTCCTCCTAATAATTGCTCTTCCAATGTATCTAAAGTAACTCGAGAAAAAAGTAGTCCTACTTCAGCCATGAAACAGAAATCAATTTTCTCATTTACGAGACCTCCTGCACGAGCTAATTCGGTTATTATTGAAGAATTACCTAGTGAATTTAGTAACAATAATGCAAATGTTAAGGCCAAGTCGAACGAAACGGTTGCAAATAAGAGTAAATTCAATGCTGAAGTCGCGATAGATAAAAATATGTCCAACAAACAAGTTAAAACATCGGATACTAAAGCTCTGAATAAAAATAACGAGCAAAGTGACAATTTAAACGATAAGTGTTACAAGATGTCACCTAGGAAGGTAGAAGTAGCGGATAAATATAAAAATAAAACTAGTAAATCGGAGAAATATATTAAGGTATATAACTAATAATGAAAAGTTAGTTATAATGAGAAAGAAAAGAGTTAGTTATCTGATAAATATGTTAATGTGACAGTGTATTTTCAGGATTTTAATAATATCGAAAACGGGTACGAATTTATGCGCATATGGCGATCATTGAAAAATGATACTGACTTGGAAGTATACGCTGAACTGTTGAGATCATTAGACACCAATAAATTAAGTTCAAGTTTGTATCTTAGTAAAATGCAGCACGTATGTATACAATTTTTATTAAAAAAAAAAAAATATTGTAGTTTTAGGTAATGAGTTGGATGGAAACATGTTCAGTATCATTTTACATTGTTTGGAACGGCATTTTTGTACATCCAACGACACGGAGCTGCTGAATAATTTTTTAACATCACTCTGCCAAGTAAAACGTTTCTCAATTGTGAATATGTTTATGAGCAATGAAGATAAACGAGGTATACTCAAAACGAAAATTTGAAATCGTATACGAAAACATGGTGTTTATTGTATATGTCGTTGTTATTACACTTACCTTTATTTTATAGTTGTCAGAAACATACTCAATTTCTTACGAGAACGTGGGATATCAGGAGTTTCATCACTGCGACAAATTTATTGCATTTAAGAACGTTGCGCGTCTATGCACTTTTAAGATATTTTGAATTTTATAGTGACGTTTCAACTTGACACGAGTACCAACTTTATATGTTCTAGTAATAATACATAAGAAAATACACTATGATGATATTGTTGTCTTTAATTTTATCAATGATTATACACAATTAAAGTAAATTATTTTCAATTGGATGGAACATTACTTCAAACATCAAGACATTCTTAATTTTTCAATTTGATTTACATTCCACCTAGTGAATGTTTTAAACAATTTGTTAATTGTTTGTACAACACGTTACACGTTGTACTTCCGTCACTTAAGATTTTAATCTCTTCTTCGTTAAATAGGTATGAAATTATATAATACACGTGTAGTATTAGCAAAGTGAATTGGTAAACCCTTTTCTTTTTTCCAATTTCCTGTATCATCGATGTTTCCTGTGTATTTTCGGGTATTGAACAACGGCGGCAGCACATGTATGCATCTAAACGAGTGCGCACTCTGGCTTTGTTCCGACATCCGGACTCCGTGACTTTAGCGCTTCGTCAGTTGCGTACTCTTCCGTTCAAGCAGCTTATGACATTTTTTTCTGTTACTACAAGATGTTTACTTGGATGAGCCGTGCGAATTTCGACGAGGATCCCGATAATTCCGCGTGCAAAGCCGCCATGAAACTGCTAAGGAGACAACAGTAACTGGAAGGTACGTGATCCGGTGTGGTTACGGGCGGCCCGGGTATGTTTATAGCCTGCAAACTCTGACATAGCAATGGCGTACTGTCGCCGTAAAGGCCGTGCCAACAAAATTCTCCCCTGCCTTATTTAGCCTAAGTTAAGTGTGCACGCGGGAAACCGACAGTAAAACGAGGCTTTGTTTGTGATGATACCGCTGATAGTGACAAGAAGAGTTCGTGATTTTTGGTGATGAAAAGTGGCGTTTTTCGGTGATTATAGTGCCTCGGTTTTCCCCACTGTGGAATGATCGCCGATTGTCGAGCGGCACGCCATCCTGCTGTAGCTGACTGAGGTCCATACTATAAAGAGATTAAAAACTATGTGAGTTCGAGCCAAACACGAACCAATGTTTTTATTAACAGTGAAATACAGTTTTAAACGAGACAGATATTTTTCTACAGAAAAAATATATGTTGCCGTAGTAGTAATTTATGATACGACCATTGACACGTAAGAAAAATGATTTATGTGTTTTGCACATTACTCGTGCACGGATTATCGGTAACAATTATTGTAACGGAACATGAAAGTTTTCATTTATTAATTGCTTTTCTACAGTTTCGATGAATGAAAATTGGACGGCAGTTTGAATAATCGTTCCGATTTTATGAATGTTACGTGGTTTGTGCTCAGGACTTATTCGTGTAAAATATACCTTTTTACCAAAACATTAGACATTTATAGTAAAAGCATTTGTGTAAAAATGATCTCAAATGTGATCGGTTATTAATCGCGAATAATTATTTGGTGTTAGTTTTGAAGTATTTTAGAGGTTTGTTATGCTCACGAGGATGTATTTATTTCCAAGGAAAGTTCAAATTTTCAGTCACGAGACTACGTATTCTACATTTTATTCGTGAATTTTAATGTGTTTAAATGCTTATGGTGTCAAAAAATATGACATTTTATTTTAAAAAGTATTGAAATATAACATTGAAAGTTGAGATGTAGTCAAGGTCAAAGATCTATATATTACATTTATAACGTGACATTTATTTCAGTGTTTCCTGATAAAATTATAATTATTATGCCTATATTTGCTTTTA